ACTAAATTCACATAATGTGGAGAATAAGGAACAAAGAACAATGGCCCCTAAAAGCATTTGGAAAGAGACAATATTGGAATGCTCATTCTTTTTAGTCTGTCCATGACACTATAACCAGAAAGTGAAAATCAGAGGTGCTCAGGGCATTTTAGGACAAAAGCAATCATGGAGCCACTGAGTCTCAGATAGGGAAATAATCTCTATGTCAGAGGAAAAAAGGCTTGGAGAAATCCAAAATAGTCACCCTTCAAATCAGTAAATGTCATAAAATGATATGCAAATCCAAAAAAATCCCCTTTAAAAACCAGTAAAATTCATGTAAAATAAAGTAAAAATTTTAAACAGTCACTTTGGAAACCAGTAAACGTACCATAAAAGAAGTCAGAACCCCAAATAATCTCCTTTAGAAACAGATCAAAACAAAGTCAAAATTCAAAATCCCACTCGGGAGGTCTGTTATTACCTCCTTGGTATTGTGGGGTGTTTCAGAAGCAGAAAATTCCCAAAAGAAAGCCTTTATTAGCTGGTGGTGACCATACTGGACATTTGAGTCCCAAGTGCAGCCTTGAGTCATCTTTGCGGCAATCTTTTACACAGAAAAACCATATCTAGTGTGAAAAGTTTGAGTTTCCAAGTGTTTTAGCTTAGGGATGGATAGCCCCTCTAACAATTACTATTCTGCAAATGCAAGCCAAGCACGAAACACAGAAGTCATATATTTGCAGTTAGCAGGAGCAACCGGAAACACACTGACCTATTCTCTAGGCAAGCACAGTCTTGTTGACATGTTTTCAAACTCATACCTCAGTGCAGCTGAGCCACACCTACTATTCCCACACCCTGAACCAAGTGCTTTTAGTTTTCAGAGTCTAGATTCAGTCTGGATTCCAACATGGTGTAGCTATGGTCAAGAAGATGCCTTATCACAGTATGCCATATTTACCCTATCACATGGCAATGGAGCTGCCCCTGCCTGCGGGGACCCTGTACAGGTAAAGCTCGAGGGGGACCACTCCCTGAAAGGAAAAACGGGCGAGAAAGAAGAGACGGAGCCCAAGTAAGTCCACTTGTCAAGGGTCCTCTTTATTGTACTGCAAGCTTTCCTTATATACAGTTTGTATTTAGAAGGGGTTGAAGAAGCTGGTCAAAAGGTTACAGCATTTTTATGGGTATGGGAGGGGGACTGAGCAATTCAGCAACGTGACTGACCGCCAGGTGTTCCAAGATTACTGCATGACTTATCTTTCTGAGAACTGTTTGCAAGGGGAAGAGAAAGATAACCTTCCGAAAAGGAAAAACATTGCAAGAAGATTGGGAATCATGATTAAATACCTACAGTCCAGGGAATTCACAGGGTAATCTGTCCCCATAGGAGTCAGAGGTACTAGTAAGATTCTGGGTGTCACCTGTTTGACTTATGGAACAGGTTGGATTAGTCAAGATGGTGGCAAGGTCATAAGATAACTGCCATTTTGAAGATGTCATTAGCCAAGATGACAGTAAAGTCATGTGGCTGTCCCTAAATTGATGATGTCATGACCCAAGATGGTGACCTGACTATGTGGTTGCCTCCGTCTTGATGAGGTCATCAGCCAAGATGTCCACAAAACCACATGGCTATTTTCTCCCTATGGTGATCTTGACTCCAAGATAAAACGTGATTGTTGCATGAGATCCACGTATCTAACAGGTTAAATGGAATGCACACAGTTAAGTTAGAATGGTAGCAGGAGAAACTACCCCCAGATATGTAGGCTCTGAATAGGAAAGTAAAAGAAAGAATTCATGATCTCAAACCAAGGGAGGGAGTCCATGTTTCTTACCAAGGGAGGGATTCCATGTTTCTTACCAAGAACTGTAATTATGAATGCCCAGAAATGCCATCTGGATCTCCTCTCCATGTTTCCGGGGCACTTTCCCCCCTGCATCTTTCCCTAGTTTCTAGTGCTCAGTCCTACATACAAGCTGTAGGGGAAAAGGAACTCCTGAAGGAAGCAGAAGAGAAGGGTGGGTGTACCCACAAATGTGACCTTGACTCCATTTTGTTTTACCCAAGTTCATCAGAGGCTGAGATCAGACAAGACCTGCGGCCCTCCTGAAACGAGGAGAAAGTAGGTCCCCTAGAGGGTTCTTGGTCTTATTCATAAAAGAATTTGAGAAGGACTTAAATGGAAGGTTTTACAATTTATTTGAATTTTAAAGAAAAATCCTCAGGGCAGGCAAGCTGTAATCTTGGCAGCTGCCTTGAGGAGGTGAATAGTGGGAAGAAGGAAAGAAAGCCATGAAGCCAGGCAGGTTTACAGCCTGGATAGGAGGTCAGACACATGGCTGTCTGGCAGCTACATGGCTGGGAGAAGGAAGCTTTAGAGAAAAAGTAAAGAAATACAAGATGCTAGGGGCAGCCTGACGTATGTTTAGAAAAAAGATTTGAAGAAGAAAAGGAGAAATTATACTTTTCTGAGAAAAAATACAAGATGCTAGGGGCAGCCTGAAGTATGTTTAGAAAAAGGATATGAAGGAGAAAAGGAGAAACTACCTAGACTGCCAGGGACTTACATGTCTGTGACTGGGTTGAGGAGTTCTGTGCTAGAAGGCAGGATTCCAGGCAGGAAAAATTCACCACCTCATTAATGCACCAGGTATTCCACCCATCTATTTAGCATAATTCAAGATGGACCTGCCTTCCTAGGGGTCATTGTACCACCAGGTGATTGAAGAGTGAGATTAGAAAGATGGATCCTCCAACAGATAGACTAGGGATTTTATAGTGTTGACCAGTTCAACTTTTGGGACTATTTGCTACTCCAATACTCTTAGTTGACTGGAAGCCAAGTCCCTTAGAAAACAATTTGTGAACAATAGTCGACCCTGATTTATTTATTTAAGAAGAACATTTTTTTCCCATTTCTGCTTTCCTACCTGTGCCTTTGAATGCTAAACAAATAATATTTGACATTTAAAAGAAAGTTAGGAATTTGGGCTTCTTCCAAGATGGAATTAGAATCCTGGATTGAGTCCCCAAATTTGTTAGATATAAAATGTAACATCCAAGGACCCCATCATTACCACACCAAGAATATGTGGACAAAGTGAAAGTAATTCTCCCAGGCAGACTTTACTTTTGCAAAACGGTGCTGATGCAAGCACACAGGGCAGGGCAGATTGGTTGGCTTTTATCTCTAAGGCATGAGAACTGTCTTTTTCCCATTGGCTGAGATCTGACCTCACAGTCTTTCCCAGTTTTATAGTTTAAAAGAATCTTTGCAAAGGGAGGGGAAAGAGCTCCACTACCCCAGGCCAGCAGGTTCCAGAATGCGTCCCTGCTTTTCTTTAAAAAGACTCACACAGTTTGGAGGGACTAAAAGAAAGAATTCCTTATCATAACCAAGTTGTACAGAGTTTGTATAAAGGACTAATATTTACTGCTTCTTTCTTTAAAAAAATATTTTTTATTTTTGTGTGTAAGAGAAAATGGCATCAAATTCCCCTAGAACTGGAGTTGAAATGTTGTTAGCTTCAATGTGTGTGCTGGGAATCAAAGCTGAGTCCTCTATAAAAGTAGCCAGTGCTCTTAACCACTTATTTAACCAGCTTCCTATTTACTGTTTTATGTATAAGAACACCAGAATGAAACAAATCACCTTTAAGATAACTGATAGGGTTCAGATTCAGGTGACCCCCACACCCAGAAACCATAAGGCTCCTAAGAGGAACTGAGTCAACCAACTCCCAGCCACCTGCGAGTTAACTAAAGCAGCTCTGGGAAGTTAATGACCAATGTATTATGATCACCAGAGCATGCTCCACAGGCTGACAAACAGGCTTCCCAAGCCCTTAGCTGCAATTAGTTCTTGGACCCCTGTAATTGAAAAGATGTTTTCAATGAGTAAATGTTTTCCTGGATAAGTTTCAGAGGTACAGACCCCATGCCTCCCTGAGCAGTAGCCCCCCAAACAGTCCCAAACAGCAGAAAAATATTCTCTTTTTCCGCATTCTGTCCCTTTATAAGCTACCCCTCTGCAGCCATTAGGCTGCTGGTTCTTCCTCACACGCGAGTTGACGACTAGCCCTGCCAAACCCAATTAAACTCTTGCTTTGCTAGAGTCCTCCTTGTTTCTGTTTCACTGTGATCCCAACCCCTGCCACATTTTTATTTAATAACAACAACAAAGTAAAGATAAAAACCAAATAGTTCCTCTTCACGTTTGGTGGTTGAACATTCCCAAGTCTAGGGAATTGATTTCCATTTCAAAGTTCAGGCTCCCACCTCAAAACTGCAGACATAGATAATTACTGAAAATTAAAGGAAACTGCCATGATATTATTTGCTATTGTGAATAACATGTGTCTTTATACATAACTTGGAAGCTGACATAGCTGTTAGAAATAAAAGCACTCCAGTTGAAAGTTTCTTGGTAAGGCAAACCACTTCTGATCAGAAGGGTGCCTGAACAGAGAAGAAAGCACATTTCCTTAAGATGGCCTTTACATTTATAGCCAATGCAGGAACGTAGCTTGACAGGCCTTCCTTAAGCCAAGTTCAACCACTCAATCTAAACCTGATTGGCTAATTTAATAAGGAAAGGACGTTTTAATAAGAATCTTTAAAATTTAGTTACATGGGGTTATGGCCAGTCATAAAGAAGTGCAGGTGATAAGCAACAGGTAGCTACTGTGTGCAGCATGGGACCTTGAACACACTGATCTTAGACAAAAGCTGGTCTGTGAGTCAGTTCTGGCTTCTTATTCTTTGAGAGCTAATAGGTCCCCTGCTGGGAAGAACAAATTGGAGGTAAAGAAAATGAAGATGGCAGTTGACTCTTGAAGCCTCTATTTTACATAACAGTAAAAGTCCTTTGAAAGAAGAGGCAGGACTTTGAACTTATTTTTCCCAAGGTGGCCTTACATTCAAGAACTGCTACTCTCTTGGGAAGCTCCGCTTAACACACCCATTGGCCAGGACGCGCCAGTCTGGCTTCCTTTGCCTCGGGTTGGTGCAGGAACTGTCACTCAGGTTGAAGCTGCAGTAGCGTCCAATTGGAAGCACTGTTGTGAAAGGAACAGGACCGCACGCAGGACGCGGGACTTCCGTTCTGCGTCCTTTGCCGTGGCCCCCTGGAGTTTCAGGATCTTGTGTCTGTAGCTCCGTCGCCCGGTGACCAGGCGTTGCACTGCTCGTCTGGAATCCCGACATGGTGAGCGCGGCGTTCCTAGCGGGGAGGGAAGCTGTGCACCCCGAGCTGGCTGCCGCGGCTCCCCGTCGTCCCTGCAGACTCCCCCGGCTCCTGCCTTGGCGGGGCTGGGCCGGTTCCGGGCAGCCCTGGCGTCCTGCCGGTCCCTGCACGGGGACTTGAACCGGGTGCAGCCCTGTGTGCAGCTCGGCCCTGGAGCTTATGGCCTAGTGCTGAGTGGGAGGAAGAGTCTGCAGGGCCGAGCTGGGGACGCCGGACTGCGCAGCCGCGACGCGGTGCTGGAGTCCTAAGGGCGGGAGGTGCTGGGCAGTCGGGTGGAAAGCCCAGGCGCCCTGTGACCCAATGCGACTTAATCAGCTAGGCGGTGGCAAGTGCTTATCTCGCGCACAGGCTCCTTCAGGGTTTTCCTGGATCCTTGGCCCCCGTCCTCCCCGCCCCAACCGCAGGCTGCACCTTTGGTTTGTATCTCCTCCTGTCTGTAGAAATCTAGTGATGATATATCTGAATATGTGTGACTGGATGTGGGACTCCAAGTCTGGGTGCTGCACCCCCATGTTTCCTTCACTGTCACTGACTCATCTTTCCCTAGTGTCTGGTGGGTCTCCTAACACCGCTTTCTCAGGAGGCCTTTCCTTTATGGCCTTGGAGTCTATGGGTGACCTGAATTTGACACTTTCCCTCTGAGCCACTTTCTTCTCTTTCTGTCACTAGGGATGGAACTTAAGGATTGGTTCATGCAAAGCAGGTGCTCTGCCCTGAGGGAAGCTAAGTGCTGGGCCTGCTTAGTGTTCTTATTAGCATGTATTGATGGTGCATAATAGCGTTTCATTGTGACATCTTTATATGTGTGTGTGTAATGTATTTCTGTCTTATTCACCCCATTACCCTCTCTTGACCCCTTCCCTCTCCTACGGATCACCTTCTTCTAAGTCCCTCTCCCACTTCATGACTTTTATCTTTCAGATCCATGTGCATCGGGGAGGGGTTGATTATAGGATCATGGGCCCCAAACCAGGTACTGAACCCCTGAACAGTCTCCAGCATCTGTCATCAACTGCTTATAAATTATCAAGGAGGAATGGGACCTCGTGAGACCCTTCCCATCTTTTGCTATTTTTGTTTCTTGAGACAGTGGCTGGCCTGGCTAGCCTTGCATTTCCATCCTGCTCTCTCAGCTGGGAACATAGAAGGGCCACCTCTCTGTTCTTCTTTGGGGAAGTCAAGAGCACAGAGCAGGAACCAGCACTGGGCAGGAACCCTGGTCCCAGCGGTCCTCCTGCCTCCCCGCTCCATTTCTGCCTCTGCCTGTGCTTCCCTGGGCAGGTCTGGACAAGGGGAGAAGCTCTGAATGTCTCTCTTCCTGAGGGATCCTGGCACCCAGCAGTAGCCCTGGTGACACCAGGGGAATCGGGATGCACAAAACAAGAGTCTTGGAGACTGAGGAGCAGATGTTATGAGAGACAGTGGAACAGCAAGACCCCCAGACCGTGGAACAGGCCTCAGCCAGGGACCAAGGCCAGACTCTAAGGCCATGTTGACACTCTCCAGCCTCCATTTTTGCTGCCTCCACAGGGAGGGAAGAAGCTGAGTGGTTGGGGGCATGGCTCAGATGTTCAGGAGCAGGAGAGGTGGGCAGATATGGGTTCAACTGCCCCCATTGGGTCTTAGCCTCAGAGCTTCCTGATTTCCCTTGTGAGTACTGGTTGTTGGGTCAGAGAGAATGGAAGAGGATGATGAAGATTGGGAGAATTCGGGTGCAGGAACTGGGGACTGCACACCAAACTTGAACATGGAACTTGTGGGTCCCAGTCCTCTGTATGTATGTCCCTGTGTCTATGCAGTTCTGTCCCTCCATAATTTGCCACCATCCCTTCTGTGTCTGTTTGTGTGTTTCTTTTATCCTTTGTATTTGATTGTACAGATAGGGTCTCACCCTATAGCCTAGGGGCTTATGACAGTCCTCTTATCTTAGCCTCCTGATAGCTATGAATTTATAGGTCTCTGTCTGTCTGTCTCTCTCTCTGTCTCTCTGTCTCACACACATTTACTGAAACGGCATGGAGGCTACGTCTGGCTTAGGCACCAGCCAGGTGGATGATTTACTAGGGATGCAGGATGCTTGGAAAAGCTGTGCACAGAGGTGTCATCCCTTCACTCCTTTTTCTAGATGTCTCCTTCAGTGCTTTGTTAAGGTGAAACAAAGGAGGGAGGCACAGACCTGGGTCCAAATCTCACCTGAAAACCAGGGATAGTGGTGCAGGGCTATAATCTCAGTTACTCAGGATACTGAGACAGGAGGATGTGTCACAAGTTTGTGAGGTACAAAGTGATTTGCAGGTGGCCTTGAGCAATGGCAGTACTTGAGAGTTCCTGTGAGAGGAGGTCCCTGAAAAGTTGCTCAGGTCCAGTTTCAGCAGTGTGGAGCTGCCCATGTCTCAAAACTGGGACAGGAGAAGCAGCTGTTGAGGACCCTCTTGGGGAAGGTAAGATAGCAGTGACTGGGGACTCCTCAGGGACCAAAGAGGGAAGAGAAAGGAAGCCAGGCATCAGCATGCTCTGCAAATGTCTGATTTTCCAGATTGTTCTGCTGCTGAGGAAAGCCCCAGCTTCCATAGCAGCCTTACCTCCAGTGTCAGAATATAGGATGTGGAATGAGGATGGCCTAACCTCTGCTGCCTCACCTCTTCTGTATGGTTCGTCTGCTTTCCCAGAGCTTTCCAGCCATGTGGGAAATAAGGTCCCAAGTCTAGAACCCTGACCAGTAGCTCTAGCATGCTGTGTCTCAATAAATTCCTAAAATGCCACCTCCCTGAAAGCATTCTCAATTATTGACATCTCTTTTTTCAAAACTATGTATGTATTTTATGTGTATGTGTGTGCTAACATGTATGAGTTTGTATGTAACATGCATGTAGAGACAGGAGCTGGCATGAGGATGTGGGGAACTGAACTAGAGTCTGGGACCTCTGCAAGAGCAGTTAAGTGCTCTTATCCACTGAGCCATCTCTCCAGTCCCATCAACATCTCTTCCAAAATATAATCAACTACTTGTCCTCGTAATGTATGCTATGTATCAAACATATACCTTGGAATTTTATTTTTGTCAGAGTCTGGGAGAAATGACTTTTGGGAGAATTTGATTCTGTTTGTGAACATACCACATAAGAGGAAGCTGAGAAGATTGACTTGAGCCCTTCTGAACAATCCCTGTGCCTTCCCTGGAGACAGACATTTTATCTGATGCCTTTGTGATGAGCTTGTCCCTTGTAAACCTTATACCACAATGTCCCCTCATCCCAACTTCTGCTCTTTATGACCTCAGATGTCAGAACTGCCTGCCCCAGGTGCCCACAGCAGCCATGTTTTTTTTATCTCTTTGAGGGTCTAATGAGAAAGAACACTTTCTAAAATGGCTGTGATCATTTTACACATCAAGAAAAGAGTACCAGAGTTCCCTTTTTGCCATGCCCATGTCCTCTGACATTTGTAATCTGCCATTATTGTGACATGGCCAATCTCACAGCTTTGCTGAAACCGGAAGTCTGCTGTTTCTTGCATTCAATCCCTGGTGCAAATTTGTTAGAATCCCAGCTTGAAATAGCCATGGGAAGAAGGTAGTAAATACTGAGCAGTAGACAGGGATTTGTTCTGTTATCCTCTATGTTTCTGCTGGGTTTTAGCCCATAGGAGTGTCATATGCTTACTGAAAAAAACCTTTTCCTTCCTTCTTTCCTTCCTTCCTTCCTTCCTTCCTTCCTTCCTTCCTTCCTTCTTTCCTTCCTTCCTTCCTTCCTCCCTCCCTCCCTCTCCCTCCCTCCCTCCCTCCATTCCTCCCTCCTTTCCTTCCTTCGATCTTGGGGAGATTTACATGTGCCAGATATTTTTGTTTCAGATCTTGGGAGTTTAGCAATTATTGCCACAGTTGACTAAGTTAAAGCTGAGGCACTCTGTGAGTGGACATAGTCCTTCCTGGATGAAGTGGTGGCCCTGGCGGTCCAGGTATGAGCTGTTCAATGGGTTCAGGAAGAGCTGAGCTCTCAGCCACGCCGCCAGAAATGGTTCCTCTGTTACCCTTGAGGGCAAGTGAACTGTCAGCAGTGATAGCAGTTAGCAAAGCTTGATGGAAATTCTCTTCAGCGAATTAGCACCTCACCTTGCATCTTTGGGTCTACTCTATAGCACAGTGCTATGCCGTAGCCCTGTCATCTGCCTTTTCATTTTCTTACTCGTAGTAACTTAATCTTACTTTCATATGATGAGTTTACAGATGCCTTCTTAATAAGGCAAACCTTACAAGCACATTTAGTTACTATAAATTTTGTTTCTATTGTAATTCCTTGGAGATCACTTTACTCTCATTCTCCTGCATCCCTGCACTAACACAGAGGGAAGATGTTTGCATTGGTTTTTATTTGTCCCATGATAGAGAACACAAGTAAGACTCTAGCTTCTCTATGACACTGCTAAGACATACACACACATAGAAAGGTGAACTGTGTTCCCAGTGCTGAGGCCTTGGCTTGATGAGAACTGTGTGGTTACAGGGGCTGGTGTCATTTGAGGATGTAGCTGTGGACTTCACCTGGCAGGAGTGGCAGGAGCTGGATGCTGCTCAGAGGACCCTCTACAGGCATGTGATGCTGGAGAACTACAGCAGCCTGGTGTTTTTGGGTGAGTCTGATGCCCTGTAACTCTCAGTAGCACTTACATCCTTCCTGGTTGATATCTGTAGGAATCATTGCTAGCTTTTAGTACTAAATTGATAAACATTTTAACTGACATGTACTAATGTCATATATCAATGGAGAGCAGTGTGGCTTTGCAGTACTCATCAGATGACACCAGCTGATATGATTATCAACTTGGCCATGACTTGATTTTGTTGAGAATGTGAAAATTCTCTTTAATAGCAATTTGAAGTATTTAATTTTTGTCAACAATATTTTTCCTACTGCACTATAGAACATTAGAAGTTCTATGTCTCTTCCAAATGTACCAAATAATTCCTAGCCATTCCCCCTTCATCCCTCCATGCCCTTTCTCCACTCTGGTAACCACAGTTTTCTCTACTTCATTGGAGTCACCTTGAACTTGCAAGAATAATGAAATTGTGCAAGATTCTGCTCTTTGTGGCTGACATATTTCACTTATCTTGTTTCTTTTCTAGGCAGTCATACAAAAGAAAAATATTTTTACCCATTATGGAAGAAGTCAGCTGCCAAAAGAACAATTCCATGTATTCGTACTTGGTAACCCAAAGTGTATTTGCGTTATTTAGAGAGCACATGAGACTCTGACATCTAGACCACTGAAAAGCCAAATTCTAGTCATTTTTCACCTCTATGGCACAGACATCTGGGCAGAAGGATTTGGAATCTCTGTGGAGGGGTTCATGACAGTCTTCTAAGGGAGTGTTAATGACCCTTTACCATATCATAGACCTAAGAGCTTGCTGTATCTGTTTATTTTACTGCTGTGTTTGTGTGGGAAGTTTTCCTCTAGGTTACCACACTGGCTCTTTTTAAGGTAGTGGTGGTTATTTCTAGCTCAGTAAAAATAATTATGTTCCAACCTCCCAAAAAGCTATACATTTCTGTCCTTGTGAGGTAGGAGATTTTTTTTTGTGTTTTTAATGGATAAATAACATTCAGCATATTTTTTCAAATAGTTTATATTTTTTATTGTTTGGCAGTTTCATACTTTTTTTTTTATAAAAACTTTGAGAATTTCATAAATGCATATAAGGTGTTTTGATCAAATCCATGCCCACTCCATCCCCTCCAACATTCCCACCTCTGAAGAGGTAACCCTAAAATCTTTTAAGGGTTAATTACAAGCTCCCAAATACTTTTGACATTTTTGGCCTTGGAACAGAGTATGTTGCTAACAGGCTGAAGGACATAATTGACTTTTACCCAAGCAACTGGCTACATTTCTTTAGGGTCTTTTTTACCCTAACTGCCTAGCCAATTCCTACCTCCTATTCTTATCACACCATCCTCTGAAAGGGTTACCCAGATTGCCAATAGGGAATAGGGATGCCAGCCGCTCTGGCTTCTTCCATGCTGAACAGGCACACAGGGTGAGGCGATTGGAGTACCCCTTCAGTGGGTCTATCTATAAAACTCCCAAATTGCATAACTCCTGTCTCTAAGGGGAGAAGAAAGTCCTTGGATCATGAATGGGACATGTGAAGGAGAAGTAAAGGCAAGAGTAATTAGCATTACAAATTCTAGACAGGGAACTAGAAAAAAGTGAGAACAGGGCTTTTTCAAATGTTCATATCAGAGTCCATTGGAATTTCTTGACAAGGACTTCCAAAAGCATCCCTCTATTGTGTTCCTCCTCATTTTTCTTTTGTCTTCCAAAGCTGGACTTGTTGGCTGGGAAGAGTAGCTGGATACTCAGGTAAGGGTCCTGTGACCCTGCTTGGCACTCCTTTGATGAATGAGCACAACCGTCAACAAGCCCAATTGTGACTATGTTTAGCAATCAGGCTCAGCGGAAGTCATGATGATGGTAGTTATTTCATGCAGAAGGGACTGCTGTATAGCATCATCTTATTAAAAGGACCTGGAATTTAAAAGGATTTGCTGCCAGGAGCCACATATGAAGGAGAACATACGTCATTTGTTTTTCTGAGTCTGTTACTTCACTTAGTATAACATCCACTTAGTTTCTACATCCATCCATTTACCTGCAAATTTCATTATTTCATCTTTCTTTACTGCTGAATAGAACTCCATTGTATAAATATACCACATTTTTGTTAAACACTCGTCATTTGGTTGATTCCATCTCTTAGCTATTGTGAAAAGAGCAGCAACAAACATGGTTGTACAAGTGTCTCTGCAATAGGATGAGTCCTTTGGGTATATGCCAAGGAGTGTTATACCTGGGTCATATGCTAGGTTCATTTTTAGGTTTTTAAAAGTTCTCCACACTGTTTTCCATAGAGGCTGCATGAGTTTGCAATCCTACCTGCAGTAAATGAGCATTCCCCTTTCTCTATATCCTCACCAGCATTTGGTATCATTTGTTCTCTTGATCCTAGCCAGTCTGATTGGGGTAAGGTGATACCTTAGGGTGATTTTAATTTGCATTTCCCTAATTACTAACTATATTGAACACTTTTTGAGATGTTTCTTAGCCATCTTTATTTCTTCCTTTGAGAATTCTCTGTTTAGATCTGTAGCCCATCTTTTAATTGGGTCATTTGATTCCTTGATTCTTTGTTTTTTGAGTTCTTTTCTGTGGGTTTTCTCTTTATTTTTTTGATTGCTTCTTTAGCTGTACAGAAGCTTTTTAGTTTAATGAGGTCCCACTTATTGATTGCCAACCTTAATTCTAAGCAACTTCTGTTGATTTAGAAAATCCTTTCCTACACCTATATCCTGTAAGTTACTGCCAATATTTTCTTCTGGTAGTTTCAGGGTTTCCAGTTTCACACTGAGGTCTTTGATCCATTTGGAGTTGCCTTTTGTTCAGGGTGAAAGATAAGGATCTAGTTTCATTCTTCTGCAGGCAGAGATCCAGTTTTGCCAGCACCATTTGAGGAAGATGCTGTCTTTCCTCCATTGTGTGTTCTTAGCACCTTTATCAAATATCAGGTGGCTGAAATTACGTGTACTCAGGTTTGGATCTTCAATGATGTTCCATTGATCTATGTGTCTGTTTTTGTGCCAGTACCATGTTGTTTTTATGACAATGGCTCTGTAGTATACTTTGAGATCTGATATAGTAATCCCCCCAGCATTGCTCTTTGTGATCAGGGTTGCTTTGGCTATCTGGGGTCTTTTGTGCCTCCATTTGAATTTAAGGATGCAGTTTTTAATTCTGTGAAATATGTCACAGGGATTTTGATTATGATTGCATTGAATCTATATATTGCTTTTGGTAGTATGGTCATTTTAACAATATTCATTCTTCCAGTCCATGAACATGGGCAGTCCTTCCATCTCCTAGTGTCTTCCTCAATCTCTTTAATGATTTAAAATTTCCATTGTAGAGATCTTTGGTGTCTTTTTTGGTGTCATAT